CACACACACACACACACACACACACACACACACACACACACACACACCCCTCTTTCTGCCATAACTGCACTGGCCAATGCTGGCCCTCACTCCCCAACAGCCAACTCAGTCCATCTCTACCCCAGGCACTCTCTTTGCCCTCTGTTCCTACTATTCCCTCTGAGAACCTTTCTCTGTTATCCTAAAGTGGAAAGGGTACCAGATTTAGCATTAGCTCACCTGAGTTTGAATCCTGGCTCTGCCACTTACTAGGTGTGTGACCCTACATGAGTCACTTCCCTTCTGTGGCCTCAGTTTCCCTATCTGTAAAATAAAAGGGTTGGCGTAGATGACCTCCGAGTTCCTTTCAGCTCTGGTTTATGATCCCGAGAGTCAATGAAAGCTGATCTAGGCTAGCGGCGAGGTGGACAGGGTCCTCTTCCCTTCCTTTAGCAATCGCTCTGAGAGAAACCAGCAGCAGAGATGCTGAAGAAGAGATTCATGTCTCAGGTATGGCTTGGACCAAGTGATCCCTGAGGCCTGTTCTCACGGTGTGTACTCAGGGAATGCAAACATTTTAATATCAGCCTGAACAGAGCCTAATTAGGAAGGTAAATCTGATGGGAAAGAATTTCATAATGATAATTTGGCTATTATCTGCTCTTTGGGATAATCCATACCACTGCTTCCTTCTATTAGCTCAGGTCATTGCAAGTTGACTGGGCACACTTTATTTTTTTTTTCATTGATGAATTAATTAATTGGGTGCCTTCTCAATTGAAGCACAGTATTTAGCAATGTAGGAGATATAAAGATGAATAAGACATGAGAATCAGACAATCCAATTTAACCTTTACTTAAGTACTATGTACAGGTATTTAGAACCTACTATGTACAGGAAAAGAACTAAAAAAAAACCCCACAGGGAAAGATATAAGGTCTTTAAGAGTTGTACAAACAATCCGTGTTGTTTTATTGCTTCAAGTTCTGCTGATCAGCCTTTGGAGAGAATAAAATCATCCTACTGGAGAAATAAGCAGAACACCAGCCTTTGCTAAGACTTTCTTTTCACCCACATCTGTTTCCATCATTCTCTTGGGTGAAATAAGGTAAGCATCCCATGAGCTCTCCCAGTCATTAGGTGATGTGGGCAACTCACCAGAGGAAATTAGACAAAGACCCACCACATGGTCCCTGCAAAGGACAATGAGGGAGGGATGTTTACCTCATTACCCCTCACTAGTACTCTGATGAGGAGTCATAGTGGGGGTAAGGGCTCAGAGTGCTCAGGGCAAGCTAGGTTTTTGTAGCTTTGCCTTTACATATGCCCCCAGCAATCTTCCCTTTCTCCATCCTGAATGTTTACCCTTTGTTTTAGACCTAGGAGAAGAGCAGCAAGAAACCCAAGGGTAGTACAGGTCCACCCAAGCTCCCACCTTCTATGCAGATTTGGCTCAGTAAGCCCCTCCTCCATCCTGCACAGAAAATGTCAGACATGTTCATTGAGTTCTGGTGACCTCGAGAATGAAAAGGAAACAAATTTGATCCTGCTTTCCTCGGAGCTGGCAGGGAAGCTGGGCTGCTATTT